CAAGTTGGGTCATAATATTGAACTAGGGACTTAATGCTCTCTAATTCCACCTACCAATGCAAATTTCACTTAAGTTTCAATTTTTAAATAAACAGATAATAGTTTCCTTCTGAATATCAAAAAACCCAGAAATTCCAATTCATCCTTCTTTTACTGTCCTTAGATATCCGACTCCACAGTTCTATGTTTCAGAGATTTGGTCAGATTTGCAGTTGTCCTATAGCTTTAAATATTCAGGAATATCCTGCCTTGTTGTCCAGCCAAGCAGATGGCTCTACTGATCTTTAAAGACAATCTAAAGACTCTAAATCTCTTTTGCTGTCAATGCAAAACAGAGAATGAAGTATAATTGGAACGCTTTTCTAAACTGAAAGAATTTGCTATGGGGCTTTCCACTGCTTCAGAGGAATTGGTATGACTGGGTTAGCAGAATGTATTCTACTGTATGAATGAGCTAGAAATGAGCTTTTCTTAGGAAGCATTTTTGTGCCAAGTGGATTTTCGGTGACAGGGCATCACACAATGTTGAACTAATCAGCTAGCACTCACGGTAAGTTTGATGGAATAAAGCTTTTCTTATTCTGCGATACATAGCTCAGGAGATGAGTTTGCGGCAGAGTTGCATCCTGCCTTTTCACAAAATGGGTTAAATGCAAAAGGTTTCACAAGGAAACTTCCACTGGCTTGCTCATGCCAGTGTTACTTAACAGTAATAGTGTAGTAAATACATTGAAGTTGACATTTCCCCAAGGAACATGAAGCTTTGCTGTCACTGAGGGGAAAAGCTTTATGAAACCAGATGAACTTTGAGGATTCACATTAAGTATGAGCCTATATTCTTGCTTTCCCTGTGGCTCATAGTTGCCATACACTGTGCGCTTATTTATGAAGCAACTGCCAGTCTTTGTTACCACAGTTAGAATTGTGACGCTGTCCTGGCAGAGCAGTCTCTAAAGTAAATTAGAAGGGGAAAAAAAAAAAAAAAAGTTAATTTCTTGCTCCAGCTTTCTATATACAGCTTAACATGTAGGAAAACACTGGGAAATGTGTGGTTCTGTAGGCAAATTGTCCAAATCTCTGCCTGCCTTCCCAGTAGAAATGAGGCCTAACCTGCATGATACAAGGCAATAGGTGTTACTTTCTCCCTGTGAGCTTGCATAGCATGTAGTGTGTGTCTCTGTGTTGTGGAGTAGCCCAAAACTCAGGAAAAAGTCTGGCCATGGGTACTACCCAGAAATGAAGCTTTCCTAAGACTGGAAATGGTTGGTAGGAAAATGACTGGGAGAAGGTATGGGACTGAACCAGGTTTGGATTGCCCTTTTTACATTAGTATCCTCTGTGAGATGGTGTTTACTTCTAGAGCGTCGCTCCTAGTGACGGCGTTCTCTCTTGACATCAGTGCCTTTGAATTAGTCCTTAGTCTGGGCCCCCTTTATTCTGAGGGTGCAGCATAGACCTGACAAGATATGATCCCTCAGAATGCTGGAAGATGAGGAGTATCGAAATACATGTAATTTGTACACTCCAAAAAAAAATTACTCTTGGCTTTTTCTGGCTCAGCCTTCTCCTTGCTAATTGGCTGGTACCAATTCTAATTAGCTGTGGAGCAGAATCTGTGGCAGTTACTTTCTGTCAGCGTTCACTGGAATCTAAAATATTACCTGTGTTCAGGGGTTCAGAGACTGGAAAACAGTCAAGTCTTTACAAAATGAATGTGCTTCTGGCAATAGTTGGACTTCTGCTTTATGCGTAGGCACGGCTGCTGCAGCCAAAACCTCTTCACTAGCATTCAGTTCATCCAACTCTTTATAGTGATTCTCTGAAGTCCTTCTCTCTCTCTCTCTCTCTCTCTTTCTCTCTCCCCCTCTCTCACTTTCTCTTTTCCTTGTTTCCTCTGTGTGTCTGTGTCTGTGCACAGTGTGTTTTTACTGTCACAAAGGCACATTTTCAGACCCCTCCTCCTGTGGTGACGGACACCTTGAAGGTCCCAGTGATGGGACTGGCCTTTTCACATCAAGTGAGTTGTCAATAGAATATGCTATACATGGCCAGATACAGTTCTGGCATGACAGAACAAATACAGGGAAGTACAAATTTGACAATGTGGAATGTTGGTTGTGCATGGGAAAGGCTGGTGAACCCAAAATGGGCCAGGCGCAGTATTGAGACCAGCTCCTTAAATGCCTTTGCAGATGAAGGTCTCCCAAAGACAGGACAAGCACCCCTAAATAAACAACAGCTGTTGCAAGGATTGTTAGTGAAAGACACAAGTAGTAAGGCACAGTGCTAAGTGTTTTCTCTTAACAGCCAGTGTCCCTAGAACCTGCACAGTCATTAGTACTCCATTCAGCTTAACCAGCCTGATGTGAATAAAAGTGCTGTTCATCAGTCAGACCCCTGTAGATGATGTCAGTGGTGGTGCTGCTGAAGTATCACACAGAGCTCTGAAAGGTTCTGCTTGAGGTCAAGCAAGCTAAACCAGGAAAATTTTATTTAATCTGACCAGCTAGATTTCTACCTGAGGTGTGCAAGGAACCTCTCCTGGGTTTCACTGCTTCCAGCACTTCATTTCCTAAAGCAGTCTCACAAGGGTTAGCTTCCCAGTTCTCTTTACCTAGTACATTTATGGGACTCTGTACTCTTTGGCTGAACCTATTTGAACAGGCCTTGAAGATCACCTATTTTAATATGCAATAGGAATGGGTTCAAACAGTTAATAATGCAGGGAAAAAATATTAAATATTACCTCTCTAGTAAGTTGATGATGGCATTCATGCTTTTTCCAGTATGTGAAACAGGCCTGTAGAGCAGAGCTTCCCTGTGTCTGGATGTCAGTGACACCTTGCACAGCCTCCTCCTATGTGCATAGGAAACCAGTCTTGTTTTCTTGTCAAGGCACAGACTTAGTCCCCTGGAATAAGAACTTTTAAGAGTAATAACCTTCGTTATTGATTCCAATGAAAATCTAGCATCATTCTACCAGCCTGAAATGCTGTGCCTCTGACTTTTCCTGTTCCTTCTTGATGTGACTGATGATTATTCAGACTGCGGGGCATTCCCCTTCCCCTTCCTCTCTCCTCTCCCTTTGCCCTTCTTGTTTTTTCTCTTCTTTCTTAGCTTTCCAGCTCTCGTCTTTCCTATCAGCCTGCTGCCCTGGGAGTTGGATCAGCTGACATGGGGTATCCTGTACTCTTTGCTGGTGGCTTGAATGCTGCACACCCTCACCAGGTACTTGTAGAGGGGAGAACAAGCGTGGCTGGTCTTGCAACCATTTGCATCACTTGTACATCTGAGCAAGGCCTTGAAACTAGTGCAGGCATTCATATCCTGTCTCTCAGGAATGAAAAGAATGTAAGGTAAATGTAGAGAAAGTACAGCTTGCGCAGGAGCAGGAATTTGGGTCCTCAGCATCCCTAACTTTACTGGAGTAGGGGTCATGTAGAAAAACTACACCAGGAGAGCAGGCACCAGACCTGTTTGCCTGTACCAGCATGTCACGGATTCCAAACTTTGCCTGTCTTACAGAGCTGCTGCCCCTGTAGCTATCCAAGCACAGCACTGTAGCCTAGACATAGGATACACATACAGTCCTTATTGGCATATTTGCATCCCTTCATCAGACAAATAAGTAAAGTTGACAGAAGTCTTTTTCTGCCTGTGATGTTGCTGCTACACCAGAGTTTTTGCCAGTGATAATAGAATAAAATAGGCTATTTCAGTTGGAAGGGACTTATAACAATCATCTAGTCCAACTGCCTGACCAATTCAGGGCTGACCAAGTTAAAGCATGGTATTAAGGGCATTGTTCAAATGCCTCTCAGGCACTGACAGGCTTGGGGCATCGACCACCTCTCTAGGAAGCCTGTTCCAGTGTTTGACCACCCTCTCAGTAAAGAAATTGTTCCTAATGTCCAGTCTAAACCTCCCCTGGCACAGCTTCAAACCATTCCCATGTATCCTATAGCTGGATACCAGGGAGAAGAGCTCAGCACCTCCCTCTCCACTTCCCCTCCTCAGGAAGCTGTAGAGCACAATGAGGTCGTAGAAAGAGGATACGATTTCCCCACACACACTTGAAGCAGAGGACCTATGGCCAGGGAGCTCTGCAATGTAAAACAGGCCTGAAGTGGAGTAGGAAGGGAACAAAAAAAAAAAACAAAACAAAAAAAAAAGTTTGTATTGTGGTGATCACCTCTCTCAGCCTCATGGGGGCTAAAGCCTGGTCATATGCTAAAACCCCCACAACTTAGTCCCAATATGACAGAATCTACTCTGTATTGCACTGTGGCATTGACCTGATATTGAGATCTCTAACTTGACCATTCCTCTCCATCTCAGTTGATTGGTCCAGGCAAAGAGGGGGGAGTTCCCCCAATTCCTAGCCAGCCAGCACATGGCACTCAAGCTGACCAAGAGAGGATGTGCACCCCACTGGATGGAGTCCACTACTCAGCAGCTACTCCTTCTAGTAGGTAGGTTGATTTTAGATGATCCACCACTTGTGCTAGCCCATTTACAATCCTGTTAAGGTAAAACTTTGTTTTCCCCTTTTTATCTATTGTTTGTGGCATAACTACTGTCTTTCCAACCCCCAAAACAACTCGCTAGTTGTTTTCTCCGACTGGGGCTTTTTCAGTCTTTCTCCAAACAATGATCTCGCCCACACACTTACACCTGCTAGTCACTGTAACATCCTTGCAACTGCTGTTATGTCAACTTTATTTAAAAAAAGATAAAGTTGATAATGTCTTTACCATGTTTGCTGACTGTAAAACAAGATAAAGTTCACAAGTGAGTCTTAAATCCTCCAGAGACTTAAATGTGAATTGTTACAAAAAACAGTTGTAGTTACCACAAATCTATTCACTATTTTATTAAGAAACTTGAAGCACAAAGTGACTTAAAAGGAAACAAAGCAACCTCAAACTGTCTAAATCACCTCCCTCTCTCAGCTAATTAAATCCTTTTTTTTTTTGGTCACCATATTTATTCCTTGTGAAGTCTCTCTGGGGTCACATAGTTCTGAGTCAAATATCTTAAGCAGAGATTTTGCTATGAGGAAACCAAAAATCATAGTTGCACTAGCACTTCCCTGGGTATGCTCTCGAAGTAGTCCTCTTGCCAGAAGACTCAACCATTTTTTTTTGTTGTTTTAATGTTCTGAATACCTGTGGTAGTAAAAAAAACAACCCCACCAAAAAAAGTCATAGAAATAACTAAAATAACTAATAGCCATGCAGTGAATTAATCATACTGGCAGCGGCTGTTGTGATGTGTTAGACTGCTGCCTTTGTAACCTGAGTGGCAGATACAATTCTGGTTCTTGCCCTCACCTCCTGACAGATCCATGACTACTGTATTACTGAAAAAATAATAGTGATGAACAGGAATTGCTGTGAATGTGCATGTTCTGAAGTTAAAAGTCCATCTCCAAAAAGAAAAGCCTATTTCAGCTGGCAGCAACTTTTCATTCAGCTAAATAGTTTTTGTCCAGCTTTAAACAAATCTGATTCCACAAGTGTCTCACTCTCCTTTTGTGCTTGTGACAGAGGAGGGTGTGGTACAAGGACAGATATTTCTGTTGTCCTTCTTGAAATACTAGGAGAAAACCCAGAAAAATGAAGGGGTCTTATAAAATATGTGATTTGTCTATATTGTTTGTGCCATGAATCACCGATTAGTCTATTTTCATCCCCCAGCGAGGATACAGAAACAGTATCAAACAGCAGTGAAGGGAAGTGTGGCTCCCCACATGACCTTTTGGAGACCATCTTTATCCGGAAGGTGGGAGCTTTTGTCAACAAGCCCATTAACCAGGTAACTAGCAGGAGATCTTCTCAGAGGGCACTGTAATGCGCTGCTTCTCCCATCTGTTTTACACAGAGGAGCAAAAAGCACCCCAATGCCAGGGCAGCCCCGGAGACTGAGAGTACATATTCCTGCCTGCTGCATTTCCTTACAAGGTCTTGTCGCAGGCTTCTTTTTCATAAAATCCCTTTGGGATGTGACAGCTGCTGAATTTGCTAACACCCTGTTTGGGTGTGGAAGACTTGATACTCCACTTGGGTCTCACAACAATCTGCCACTACCATAGGTTCATAAACTGGGGAAGCTGGTAGCAAGCCTCCCTTCCTTGAAGGGACACATAGTAGTCCAGTTCATCACTAGCAAGCAAGCATTTAAACTCAGCTAGGGCAGCTTAGAGATCTGCCCAGTTCCTAGGGCTGCTCTTCTAGGCCTTTTGGCTGGATGAGGAGAACTGTTTGAATTTGTAGCAGCTTGTCAATCCTTAATGTGTTACACAAGATTATATATAAGCAACCCCACCTCAGGGTATGTATCTGCATTAGGTCAGCTGAGTACAATCTCTCTATTTTACGCCTTTTAAATGAGCTTGTCAGCCTCCTGCCTAACTGCTGACGTGATCTTGGGCAATTTTTAGCAGGCCTGACAAAGGCTTTCAACATCCTTTTCTGTGCTGGGTAAGCAGAGCATCTTAGTGAAATTCTGTTTGCTGAATCTCCTTAGGTGACCATGGCCAACTTAGACATTCCTTTTGCCATGTTTGCTCCCAAGAACGTTGAGCTGGAAGATAACGACCCCATGGTAAGCCTCTTCCAGAGGTATAATATCTGCCTTCTTAGCATCCCTTATGCAACATCCATACTATTCCCTACCTTGAACACACTTTGTTTTTTGAGCAAAGAACTAGCTATTCAGATTTGTTTGGCTTCAAGAAATGTGTTTGCTGTCCCTGCAGTAGCATGTGTTTATAGTTCAACCTCCTAACCGCTCCCACACTGTCAAAATACACAGACAGATGTGATCGTAAGATCAGTACTCACCATCTCTGATTTCTTGGGCAGGTCAATCCTCCTGACTCCCCAGAAACTGAATCTCCTCTACAAGGCAGCTTACACTCGGAGGGCTCCAGTGGCAGCAGCGCAGGGAACACCCATGACGACTTTGTTATGATTGACTTTGTAAGTGCCCTCATCAGTGCTCTCATGTAACACCTGCATCTTAGATGGGCTTCAGGTGCTGGTACAATGGCAAATGATGTAAGAGTAGTTTTCAGTGGGGGTGGAAAAGACCCATGATTCACAGTTCCAAACTAGAGCTTGACAGTCACAAAACTACAAAGACACTGACACTTGGAACCAACAGCTACAAATTAAATACTCTTTCAGTTCCCTACCAAAACCTGGGCTTGGTGTCCTCTCTCTAATGCCTAAAGGGGCCAGATTCCAAGGAAATGCTCTATTCCAAGCACTCAGGCAAGCACAGATCTTGGCTGTTCTTCAATTACCTAATCTGCATTACTGCAGCAACAGCTGTGATGCTGATAGCTGGCAAGATGTTTGCTGATAGCAGGTAATGACTTTACCTGAGATTATGGCAAAAGGGAAGCCAATGTATCTGAATGGGAACTAACAGGAGTATGTTTGATTCTAGAAACCAGCATTTTCAAAAGATGACATTCTTCCAATGGACCTGGGGACATTTTACCGTGAGTTTCAGAACCCCCCTCAACTCAGCAGCCTCTCCATTGACATTGGAGCGCAGTCCATGGCAGAGGATTTGGTATGGAACCCTGAAATTTCTGTTTATGGCAATCATATGTACTTTATAATGCTCTCCCTGTTCCTAGTTTGAAAAATAGTTGTATCTTCATAGAATCACAGAATAGTTTGGGTGGGAAGGGACCTTTAAAGGTCATCATGCAGTGAGCAGGGACGTCTTCAACTTGATCAGGCGGCTCAGAGCCCCATCCAACCTGACCTTGAATGTTTCCAGGGATGGGGCATCTACCACCTCTCTGGGAAACCTGTGCCAGTGTTTCACCACCCTCATTGTAAAAAATTTCTTCCTTCTATCTAGTCTGAATCTACCCTCTTTTAGCTTAAAACCATTACTCCTTGTCCTATCACAACAGGCCCTGCTAAATAGCCTGTCCCCATCTTTCTTATAAGCACCCTTTAAGTATTGAAAGGCCGCAGTAAGGTCTCCCTGGAGCCTTCTCTTCTCTGGGCGGTACAACCCCAACTCTCTCAGCTTGTTCTTACAGGAGCGATGCTAGGATCATTTTTGTGGCCCTCTGGACCCACTCCCAACAGGTCCATGTCTTTCCTGTACTTCTCAGAAGGGAGACCCTGCCCAAAGGGTCCGATATGTTCCAGACAAATGCAAATTTGTTTGTGGCACACCTGAGCCGCTGAAACCGGTGTGATTATCTTCAAGCTGAAAGCTGCTGCTGCATGCTTGTTGTGGTTGTCATTGAAACCCCCATAACTAATCCTACTTCTGATGTGCTAAACTTGGTGGCAAACTAGGCCTGATCTTGTAGCCTGAGCAGAGGTAAAATCCTGGTGTGGCTGGTGAAAGTCATGTCTGGGCAAGTGCTGTATTGGGCTTGCAGGCATTGTAACATACTGTGGGGAAAAATTAATACTAAAGGCCGAGAGCTGCAGGTGACAGGAGCAGGTTATTGTGCTGTGGTGGGAATTGCACAAGGTGAGGCCCCGGTGCACCTACTGTTACTGCAGAACAAACATGGTCTGGGCAGAGTGCCCCTCTCAGGGTCACTTGCTGGATGCTGCCAGAGGCCTCCTGGTTTTGTGCACGTGGGAAGGGGAGCCCAGAGAAGTGGAGGGGGGGTGACTCAGAAACAGAATTTTTACCTCAGAGCATGTGTTTAGAGCTTCCTTTTATCTGCTGTGAATGAGCCCTGATCTGCACCCTTCTTTACCCTTCCAGGACTCGTTACCAGAGAAGCTGGCAGTCCACGAGAAAAATGTCAAGGAGTTTGATGCCTTTGTAGAAACCTTGCAGTGAAGCTGTTTTCCCATTTTGCTGCAGCAGTTCTTCCTCCTCAAGGCATCCTGGAGAATGACATCAACAAATATTTCTATCACCCCTGCTCTGCCTTTTCTCTCACTTTGACTAGTTCCTTCCATCATGAGCTTTCTTGGATTGCTCTCTTCAACAGCAGATACAACTCATCTGCTGATTTTCCTCAACTGCACCACCACATAGCTCTGGACCGCTTTTCCTGCTCACAGTCAGTTTTGAATTTAGGACTTCTGTAGGGACACAGAAGTCAAACTCCAATGTATGAAACTTACTTTCTCCTCAGTCTCTGTTCTATGTGGAGGAACTTTGTGAAAAGTTGCCATATGCTTCCTCCAAAGGTCCTGTGGTGTAAGTTTGTTCCCTTGGTATGGCTTCTTGCTAACAGACTTTTTCCTACAGTTTCCAGTCCTGTTAGAGCATAGAAAGCTTTGGCTCATTTCCAGGGCCTGCGAGTTCAGCAGATTCAACAGTTTTAAGTCCAGGACATTCATTCCGCAGAACGGGGCATTTCATCCTGACTTCAGTGTGAGTGCCTGGGGCCCAGGGAGAGACGTCAGCTTTGGGACCTGTGTTAACAGAAGTTACCTTTGTTTTCCTGCTTCTAAGGAACTGGGTCTCTACATGGTCATTTTGCATGAGGCCTTCCGTTATGCTGGCTGATAAGCAGGAACGAAACTACAGAAGTGCTTTCTACATTTCCTTCCTGAGTATACTGACGCTCGGCCATGCCGAGTTCACCAGTGTCAGCTGTTGGCAAGCCTGAACGCAGCAGCTGTGATGATGCTGAATTCATAGTCTCTGCTTCTGAAATGTAACTGTAAATACTAGGAATCCTATTTCTTTAGGGTTATGTAACTAGGAGTCTTAGTCCAAGATTCTTTCCTTTAACCCTTGCATCCTTCCTGCTTTATGGTTAATAGATGATCTTAAGAATCAAGAAATATTTATTGCTTTTAAAGAAACCTATATTTAAAAGATGTTCTGTTTTCATGTAGTAGTGCAGGTCATTCTGCCCTGGATCACTGCAGACAGCAAGTGTGCCATGGAACCCTGGCCAGTGAGACTGGTCTCTCTTTGCAGGAAAATATCCAAGATATTTATTTTCTAAGAAGACAGACTTGATTATTCTAATATAATACTCTGTTTTGGGGACTGTGTGTCCATTACATCCAGTCAGGGCCCAGTGATAGAATGAAACGCACGTGTCAGTGTAGTGGAGCAGGAGGGACTCGGTAAAAAGCTGTGTTCTGATAGGCACGGATGAATTTGCAGTGTTCTTCAGCCATTCAGAAGGCAGCTTCTTTAAAGCACATTTTTTTGGGGAGCTTTATGGTACTTTTTAATCAGCTGGCTTTTGATTAGCTGAAATCTTATTTTTGTAATGATCTGGCTATGAACAGTGTGACTGGCTGGCAGTGCTCTGTGGTTGATTTGGCTGTTGCGTGTCTTTCACCTGATGTAAGGACAGGAGAAGAAACAGTGACACTAAACAGAAACGTAGATAAGGTCGTCTTGTGGTTCTCTCTCCTCCTCCCATGTGTAACTAGAGTGAGCAACTGCAAGACCCCTTACTGTCCTGAAACACTTTTTTTTTTCTTTCTTTCTTTTTCTTTCTTCCTCCAGAAGTGGGGTTGCGGTGCCTCAGTACTGAGGAACCATCTTAATTTCCTTAGAGTGGCTGAGTAACCAGCCTTCTAGTTAGTGCAATGTGGCAGTTTCTTCAACTTAGCTGCATTCTTGACTGAAAGAGATTGCTAGCAGCTGATGGGGGGACCCCGCCTCCTCTCTAGAACACTATTTCTGTGCTATTGCTAGAGCAAGGAACCAAGTTCAGAATAGAGCTTGCTGTAGGGTTGAAGCAACGCAATGCTTTGAACTTGACCAGCTTATTTTGTTGAGTGATGCATTTGGTGGGAGGCTATGTGAGCTCTAAAATGCTAGGTAAGGGCTTTATTGAAGGAAAGCTACCTGCCAGAACGTGTTTAGTTTACTCAACCAACTCATCTTTTCAGCAATCTCACACAGAAGTTGCTTAGTCCTTGCAAAATAAGATGCGCAAACATTTAAGAAAGTTTCCAAGAGAGCCACCTTGAACACAAAGAACACAAGGAATTAATGGATCAGCCGCCTCTTGCCTCTGCTCAAGAAGCTGGGTTCTGCCACCTTGTAGGCAGTAGTGCACAGACGGGTGGTTGCTGTCACCTCTCTCTTAATGTACAGGCTGTGCTTGGGAAAGTGATGCCATCTGGGCTGCAGAGCAGCAGAGATGGGGTGTAAAGTGCTGGTTCACACTGTAGTCATGGAGAAGAATAGACCAGGTTGAACTTCATCTAGGCAGCGCTACTGCTGTCCTTTCTCACACTGACAAGCTACGGCGCGGGCAGAAAGCATGCCGTTCCTGCTAATCCTGTCCAGACCGTCCCAGAGCCAAACGCTTGGGCTCATTTGTTGACGCAGTTCCTAACATGGCTCCACCTCCCACATCTCCTAAGACAGAACATCGGTGTGGCACATGTTTTTTTTCTACTTCAAAAGGCTAGAAATTTGCCTATATAAGCTGCTAGTGTTGAGCTGGATGGCCATAGCAATAAAGAGATTCCCCGGGGCTGAGTTATGTGCCTCTTTTCTGGACATTCCTCAGTTTCAACACGTAGTTGCTACATCTAGGCTCCGAGTTCCCTGACCGCTGCACAAATGCTCTGCTTCAGGAAAGAGCTAGCTGCTGTTGTGGCCTGCCACAAATTGTGTTACAAAGAAGGCTGTTGATTTTAGCAGCTGTCTGGTCGATTCTATATTAAGGACAGTATGTACGTAGCTGCTGATTCAGATACTTTGGGTGAAGGGGAAGGCTCCTAAACTGTATTGTTTTGGAAATAGTCTCCAATGTACTTCAAGTATTCAAAGAATTTCCAGTAAAACTTTTACGTAAGCAACACTGTTGTGTGCTTTTTTTCCCCATGTGTACCAACAGGTCTGGGACAGTCCCAGTCTCTTGCCCTTTCTCCTCCAGGAAAGGGGATGGTCAGAGCGCTGCCCGTCAGCGCAGGACAGAGCAGGTTGCTGCCTCCAACAGAGAGGGTAAAATGCACTGGTGCCGTACAGTTGGAGTAGCCAGCAGGATCCTGGTGAGCCTGCATTACTGGAAGGAGGATGGCGAGGAAGAGACAGAGCAGGTGCCTGACTGGTCCCAAATGCAGGCGTGGGGAACAGTCACACAGTGTTTGGCCCTGGTGACCTCCCCAGTGAGTTGGGAAATCCGAATTATCTGGATGTCCCACCCCAGCTGAAATACTAACTAGTCTCCAACAGAAAGGGGTGGGAAAAGTTAAAAAAAAAAAAAAATCCACCAGCAGAATTTGCATTGTACTTGGTTGCTACTACATGCTTAAAAGGAGTGTGGGAATGTTTTGATCTGATAGAAGAGACTAACAAGAATGGGAAAGAGCGAGCATGGGCATCCCAGCAGCAAGAAATGCTGGTGAAAGAGCATGCTGCTTGCAGCAGGCATGAACTACCTGTCTGATAACCAAACTTAACAGCTGTATTCTAGCAGTGCTTAAAATTAACCCTATGTAATACACTATGCCATTTCCCTTTAAAGGAAAGACAAGATAGTAAAAATCTACACGTAAGTAGAACTACTGCTCATTTAAGCTGCAGTGTAAAGGGTACTCGGTTATTATAAATGAGAGACAGTGGATGAAATGGCAGGAATGGAAAAAAAAAATCCACGTATATTGGAAGCTTCTATGAAGGGAAATACTGCTGCTTGGGGAACAAGGGTAATTAAAAGCAATCTTTCCTTAATCTTATCTTCAGGAAGGTAACACAGTAAACCAAGTATCCCCATTGCAACCTTAGAGATGCTGATCTACCCACATTACATGTGTGTATTCATGAGTATCATTTCATAGACTTACAAAAGGCACCGCACAATGTGGGGAAGAGGGGAAGAGCTGCTGACAAACTCCCCTAAGCCGTCCTGTGGGATCTGGGCCTCACTACAGGGCCTGCAGGATTTACCCTCTTCACCATGTCACCAGTAAGATGAGGGATCAGCAAAAAAGTGAAAAAAATAATGATAGAAGGATGATTAATCACCAACGTCATGAACAATCAAATACCATCCAGTTGTGAGCCTACTGTATATATTTCTAGAAAGCAAAATGTTCTCAGAATAACGTCCTTAAGGCCACAGGGCAGCTACACATGAAAACGCATCCAGCTGCAACGGCGGTTACACTGCATTAAGTACTGTCCGTGTGGTTGCACGTAGCCTATGCCCTTGCCACCCACAGCACCCTGGCGAGGACAGACCCACCTGCTCCCGAGCTCCTCTGAGGCCACAGCAGATGTTGCCACCACAGCAGCGGCAGCTCACCGGGACCAACTGTTGCACTCACAGGAGGTTTGAGATATTGCTGTATGGTCAGCACATTAACCACGCTGGCCCCGTCGCAGGGGACACCACAGTCCAAGGGGTGGAAAAATCATAGCTTACAGGCAAAAGCACCATCCACGCAAGAAAGCCCCAGGGAAATAATAAGTAGTAAACCCCTCAACTCTAGAACTGAAGTACTGTCCAGTAAGTTACAGCAGGTAAACAAATTAGTAAATCAGACTACAAGGACCGTATGCAAAGTATTACGTGTGAACAGATGCCAGAAATATCTCTACCTTCTGATAGATGGCTGACAGTTTGTCACGAGTCGCGCTGAGTAATGTCAACATGCAGAAGAATTGGCAACACTGGGAAGCCCTTAATTGGATGGCTTACCAGTAACAAAAACTAAAGAGCAACAGAGTTTTAGAAATGCAGATGTTAACATCAGCATTAACACATCACCCAGATGACAAGGCCAGTAGCCAGGGCCCAGGCTACTGCCCGATGGTGATGCTTTTAGCTCCAGTGCTCTCCCTTCTACTCCTATTCTCACACCCACTACAGGGTTTTCTTGTTGCTACGCTTGTGTTATTAATTGTAGTAATCACTTTGCATAGAAGAGCCTTTCTACTAGCCAAAAAGCTTACTGATGTAACCAGAAAATTAAAGTGTCTTTAGGGAAAGGCAGTTAACTGTATGTGGATCAAGGGGTGGAGTGCAGTGGTCCTAACCAGAAGACTGTGGTAAATCAAGGGGTTAGCGATCCATGTAAGTAAGCCAAGAAGAGAAGGTGCAGGCCTCTGCTGCACGTATCGCCTGGCCTCAGGATGAACTCAGCTAACCCTAACTGGGGAGCCTGCAGCTGGCTCCCACCTGGCACCTGGTGACACCACAACCTGCGTGGCTGCCTGGGCCCGCCCCTGGGAAAGGGCAATCCCAGGCAGATTGCTCATCTTGTGACAGGGAGATGGCAACATGGAAGCCCAGCCCTGTTCAGGAAAGAGCCAAACTTGCAATATGTTGTTTCGGAATTCTGCTTCCAGCCTGAGGCTCCCACAAACTAGTATTTCTTCCCAGAGTTACTCACATAGGAGGCATTTCATACTCACTTTCCTCCCTCCCTGCATGGCTGTGGTTGGCAGCGTAGCCAGCCTTACTTCTGTTTCTTGTAGATGTGCCACAGCTGCTGCCACTTGACAGACACACCTGAATCTGGGATTACATTTTGATTTTTATTGAAATACAAAAAGTGCAAACTGTGAAATATAAGATTGGTGCAGACTAGAAGGAAATAAACAATGTGAACTGTGAAAAACCCAGCCCTGCACCTCATGAGCATCAACAGAAGAGAAGGCAGGGAACACCAGCAACAAAAGCAAAAGCCAAAAATTTTGCACAGGAGCCCCCGTGCATAAAAGAGGAAGCAGGGACCAAACTGGCCCTCAGCTCTCTCTCAAATTAGCAAACATTGCCACAAGGCATCGAGATGGCCCCAGCACCCCTGCACCACCCAAAAGCTCTGGTGTCAGTACATGGCTTGGGCCAGGGAGCAGGGGGTGATCAGAGGCCATTAAGACAGCAGGAGGCTTAGCAGAGAGGAATGGTCTAGGTGCTAAAAAGCAGAGGGTTGAAGTGGAACAAGTACCCCCACAGGGAGAAATGGCTAATAGCTAACCTGAAAGACAAGCCAGGGAGGAGACCCTTGGGCAGTGCTACAGCCTGGAGAAAACCCACAAAAGACCAGCACCCTAATCTGACACTGACCCTCACCTACAGCAGAGGAAACCCGGAGAAACCCAGCCCAGCCAGTGCCCCGCCTGTGTGAGCAGACTGACCAGGCAAGGAGGGAATTTAAACCCCTGGGCTTGGCAGATGCAGGCTCTGGTGCCCACCCACCCAGCGCAGGCTGCCGGCAGGCCCAGGCCAGTTCCTTGCTCAAGTCACAGCAGGGATATTTCAATACAAGGCATTCAAGAGAGCAGACTGCAGAAGCAAAAGCAACCCTGGTTACTGTGCTGGCTCCAGGGCCCCCGGCAGCTCCAGCATGAGGAGCAGTGGAGGAAAGGGGTATTTACACTGGGTCCCTTCCAGGATTTGCAAGCACTTTCCCACCATGAGCAGTAGCAGCTTCCTGAACACACTCCAAATCTGCTCCCTGCAGGCACTGAACTGGAGCAGGCTTTTATCCCTGCCTGCAGGGGATGCACCAGTCTCCATTTTGCTAAAAAAGGAAACATTATTTCAAGACTTCACTTTTTAAAAAAAAAAAAAAAAAAAAAAAAAAAAAAGCACCCACCAAACAAACTCCAGCCAGAACACAGACACTTTGTGGCAATCCCTGCCCTCCCCGCTGGAGAGGAGCTGAGCTACCCCAGCACTGCACTGCTCCTCTGGCTACCGGGCAGGGAACAGTACTTGCTGCTCTGCAGAGTTTGGAACGTGCCACTCTCCCCTGGGAGCCAGGACTCCACATAGGGCCAAGGCCTCCTGCCCCAGCACACAGGCACTTCTCGTTCCAAGCTGCCGACCTTGGGCTTGTTTGTCCCAGGAGAAGTTCGCTGAGTTTGCCTTTCCTCTGGGGGAACATAAGGGAGGCTAGCAGCAGCTGCAGATACAGTCAGAACACCAAGTCTCCCCCCGTAGCAAAGCCGCTCCCTCAGCCTCCATGCTCCTCCCAAGCTGTCCAGAAAGCCATGCCCCCTAAAACAAACAGTGGGGCAAGCACCCCTCTCTTCACCCTGTCCAACATATTACTCCTCTGCAGCACATCAGCCCTGCTAACTTACTCTAGCAGAGATCACAGGTGAATTAGGAGCTGAGTATCTCTACTTTCAAAACATTTATTTGGTTACTGCTGTGAATTGTTCAGGCCGAAACAATTTGTATCCTGGCCAAACAGGGAAGCCCCCTACTCTTGGAAGGGGGAGACTAAACAGCTTTGTAGCCTCCATAGGGCAAAGCCCCCCCAGTATCTAGAAGGGATCAGACCCAGCCGTCTCCTAGAACATCTCTTGCTCCAGTCTTAGTAATGCTCAGTTTCTTGCTCACTGTTCCCACCCACGTGTTGGTGTGCCTCCTCTGAGCCAGCTGGCTGAACCTGCGCTGCCCTGCAGAGCTGCCTATGCTCACACCCATTCCCATTCCAGAGCTTAGCAAAAAGAGCAATTTCCATAATTCCTGCAGCAGATATCACTTATTTTGATTACAGCTGGGGCACTGACCATTGGTCAGCGTTTAAAGGCAGGCTAAAATATTATGAAAAAGCAAATTCTATTTAGCATCCAGTAGCTTTTTAAAAATTCATTCTACTTGGTCCAAAAGATTTGTCCCTGTGGCCAGATGCAGCAGGGAGGAGTGGCCCAGGCACGCAGGGCACAAGATATAAAGATACAACACACCAGGTAAGTAAGGCTAGAAGCTCCCTTCTTCACACCCTGCCAGGCCCGGGCTAAGGAGGTGGATGTCTTTTAGCTCAGGTAACGGGAATGCTGCAGCCCAAAGCCAACAGTGATGCCCTAACAGCATTGCAGCTGCTTTGGGAAGGTGCCAGGCCCATCCCACTCTGAGCCTGCCTTGAGGACAACCCGATCTCTCCAGCCGTGCCCAGGATGCATCTGACCAGGCTTCCATGGTAGGATGGAAGGAAGGCATGAACCAAGGAGGAGACAGGGCAAAGGCCCTTGGCATGGAATAGCTGTTCCCTCACAGCTTTGGCACATGAATGCTCAGCACCTGGGCAGAAATTTGCAATCCAGGCCTGGTGCACTCCAGGGTAAGGGTTAGCCCCAGTTCCTAGACTCTCCCTCAAGGCCATGCTCTCTGTTACACTGTGCTGGGGAAAGTTCTGCTCAAAAAGACAACTAACCAAGGCAGTCTGTGCCAGTCGCACAGACACACAATGCCTGAGGGATGAGAAGAGGCCTTGTGCTGCTGCCACAGGGAAAGGCAGTGATCCTCATAGCGTTCAGCAGTTCAGTGCCACCAGGGCACTTGCTCCCTGCCATTCAGGCTCACCAGCTGCCACAGGGCCCCAGCCAGCGCCCCCACACAGCCAGGTCTGGCGTGAACCTTCCCAGCCAGGCTGGACACGCTGCTGCAGGGACAAACACACCTGAGCTGGGTAGCTATGGGAGGCACCTCACCCACTATACTCCAACAAGACCAAATAGTATCTGGAGTGGGTGACTCCAGAGGGGGTTGGACTAAATTCAGCTTCCTTGTATTAGAGTCTGACAGGTAATACAGCCCATGTGCTGTGAGCCTGTCCTTCACTTGCCTGCCAAAAGCACAGGGTCCAGAGTAGTGTTTGCAAGTGCAGGACACGCTGCTACCTGAAGCACAAGGGCTGCCTGGTTCCCTTCCCTGGTTTAGGTGCCTCTAGGGAAAGCAGGATGCACATTCAGTGCCGAGAGATGACACTCACAGCAAGAACATCTCTGCCACAAAACCCAGCAAGCCTGCCCTAGCCCAGACAGCCCAGCTGAGGCAAGGGGGGGTGAGCTGGGGCTATTGGGAGCTTGCACAAAAAAGATCTTTGCCGAGGAAGGGAGCAGGAGGGCAGAAAAACTGCATGTGAGGGAAGGAGGAAAGGAAGGCAGGTCATCTGATAGGGCAACAGACTGGTGATGAGACCTGGAGGAGCTGCACAGACTGGCAGGTGGGTTAGGACTCCACTTGCAGCAGCTGGGAGACCAGCTCCCCTCCCCATCCGGAGCAGCAGGTCTCCTGCTTGCTTACTTACACCCTTTCTCCACCATCTCCACAGCCCTCGCTCTGCTCATCACCCAGAGGATCAATGGTCCCTTTGCACTGGAGACAGCTTGGTCACAGCTCCAAGACAAGGTGGGAAAGAAGGTGGGAAGGTGGGCACAGTGTGCTGGTGTGGGCTGGCCTGGATTCAGGCCTCCACATCCTCAAAAAGCTCCTTCTGGTGGTCCAGCAGGAACTTCGTAAAGGTATTGATGGGGTTGATGGCTTTTAGGGTGATGGCTACATCTTTGGCCCACAGCAGATTTGGGCCAAACACAACTGCCAGGTTGGTGTTTGTCATCTTGTTTCTGTCACTGTGAGCAGAGACCTACGTGGGAAGGAAAGAGACCGTTGTGAATCCTACGGAACAACACAGCAGCTGCCTTCTACCCTCCCCAAAGCCAGAGCTGACAGGCTCCCAAGGGCAAATGAAAGGAGAGAAGCTGAAGGCCCAATGCCAGAGGATGGCTGGGGGAAACACACATAACATCCAGCATTCAGGAGGTGAGGAGCAATACCTTGCCATTTGCCACTATGGCTTAACCACCAGGGCATATCATAACAATAGGACCAAGAGCACTGTTAGACAATATCTCTACAGTCCAGGTTACCACTCAAAACAAAATGATCTTCCCTCTTGCTAGAATAGCCTTGCAGTGGCTTCCCTGGCAGTGGAAAGTTCTGTGGGGCAAATCTGAGACCCCTCTTCCAGCCTAATCTTCTACTTGGTTATTTTGCAGTTGTACCTCCACCCTGGGGAGCCTTTCAGCCTCTCTGGTACAGACCACATGGGCTTAATGCCAGCCTGCACCTCTCAGCATTATGAGAAGCAAGCGCTTTGGTTAGTTCATCATGATCATTCTTGATCTCTGTGTAACAAGAACATAATGTAAAGAAAGGCAATTTCCTAGGTTGAGACTCATTTCCTCTCAAAGGAAAAGAGGGAGCAGGCAGTCAAAAAGCTGATGCAAGGCACTGGCAACTGAACTAGAATATGACTGCCCACCTTTGGAGCAGCTCACCTGAACCAGAAAGGCTGTCAGTAAATGGAGCACTTCGTAATTTTCTTCTGGCAGAGTCTGGAGTGTTTTGCGAACAACATCCACACGATTCACCTCCTCCACACCTAAAAATCAAGACAGACAAGACAAGCAGGTCCATGAGGAATCCTCAGCACCCACCCTGATGAAAGCCCTGTTTGCAGTCACAAGGTATCCTGTGCAGGACTGCCCCCCCGCCCCAAGACATCTTTGCCCTTGCCCAGTGCAACATTCAGGAGTAGCATGCTCCTGTTACAACTCACTCTGGAAGGTGACAACATGACTATAGAGGGCAAAAGTGAGAAGGGGTTCAGGTAGCTCCCTCAAGAAGGTCTTGAGAATCACAGCAGGGAGGTGCACATCTTCATACTGCTGGAAATCTACAGGCACACCTGAGAAAGTAGAGTAGAGACTCAGTGCACACTGGCCAAAGCAGAACCTCCTCTAGACAAAGAATTGGACATGGTCGTCATACCCCAGAACTAGGGAAGCAGTATTTTAGAGAACACAGAGAGGGTGTTCTTTACTGAAGAAGCACCACATCTTCTAGCAGAGTGGAAAAATGTGTCCCAAAAACATAAGCAAAGCACTGCTGAATCCAGCACTACATCTTTAAGAGTCATCAAATGAAACGGATGACCAGGTTTATTCCTGGTTATCTTCAGTCCCTCCAGTATAACCAGACTAAGATGGTATATCCCACCCTGAGAACAGGGAAATTTTCAGGAAGGAAAAGGGCAGCAAGGGGAACATGAGTGGGAAGGAATATGCTTTCCACACAGCAGAAGTATCAGATGCTTCTCCCTTGCAACTCAGGTCATACCCTGATGGGGCCTCACCTAGAGGCCTATCAGAGAAGGAGAGGAGCCATGATGGACCAGTTCCAACACAGTTCCAGGTGGACAGTAGTAGTTATGGAATGACAGGGGCTCTGCTGAGTCTGGGCACTTACCCATGTTGTATTTTTGCTGGACCTCCCTGACAACCTGTGTATTTGCTGATCTCCGGAAAATCCCCTCTGTAGCAAGAGCTGTGAAATGAGAGCAGGTGGAGAAGAAAGATCAGCCATGTGAGAGTCTCTAAAAATGCTGGTCTTAACAATCATAAATCCATGCTGTGGGGCGTTCAGACAGATGTCAACAAGTCCCTTTTTTATAGTACAGCAACTCTTTCTGCTTCCACTACCAGTCAAAGGATACAAGGAGCATTTTGCTACTCTTATACAAGGGGGAGTATGGATGACTGGAAGAAAGAGGTCTCCTAAACCCTGTACAATCTCTCTTGAAGGCTAACTCACCTCGTTCAGGCCTTCATACCTTATTCTAGGCTACTGCTCTTCTTTATCTTACCACACTCTGGATGGGAACTTGGGTGGAGGAGAGGCCACTGCCATGGAATTAAGAGGGGCTGTAGCTTCCCCGAACACTTACCATGCTCCTGTAAATGAGCAATAGTGTCTCTGACCACCAGAGGAACAGGAGACTGATCAGGGCTCTTCTCCCTGAGACTGCAGGAAGAGACAAAAGGTTACAAATGGCTGGTTCCTCCCTGCCCTGCAAGCAGCCCCTAGGTCCTGAAGTTGCCCACACAAGCTGTACCACATACAATCTTGCTACCCCAGTCCCTGGTTCAGCCATTATTCCAGCCTTATCTCCTCTTCACCCGTCATGCTACATCATTCACTGGAGCAAGTATGAGCTCATTCCGACACCACAGGAATATTTCTCTATCTTCTGTAAAAATTACAGCCTGTGTCAGGGCAAAGGGGTTCCCAGAAGGCAAGGCTGCTAGTTACGAATCAGATGAAAAGGATTAAGCTTCCTTTTTCCGTCCTCATAGGAGCAAGGCCAGAAAAAAGCTGACACATGTAAGAAATATAGATGGGATAAGTTTACCCACCCCAATCCTGTATCGGAAGATATATCAACCCAATGGCTGTCAGGGGAGCCCTAGTGATGCCAAAGTATTCACTGCCACCCTCACATTTGATTGTCTATACCACTTGATAGCATGGAGCTGTTCACCCCTCTCAGGCACACAGCACCACAAGGGTTACATTTGGAAACATGTTGAAGCTGGGGAATGTGTGCCCAGATTGCTTCAGAAGATCTGTCTGGCCACACAATACTGGCTCCTCCTCATTCCCCACGGCACCAAAATCACACTCAAAGTTAAAAATACCTTCAACACTTAGTTAACCAGTACCACTAGCACTTGCCAGTGTCTGTGTTTGCCTGTGTCACCATGCAGGAATGGGGGGTGGGAATCAGTAAAAGGGTAAGTGCTTTTAAAACAGAAATTATGATATGGAAAAAACTAAAACGGATCTGCAGCACTGCTCAGTCAAAACAGCATAGCCCTAAAGACACCTTCATCGGCCTCCTACAGACTTCCTTTGCTTAAAGGAAGTTTCTAGTGGCATAAAGCCGTCCCCATGGCCGTTATTTTGTTCCTCCTGTAGTGACCCTTAGCTGCAGAAACAATCTCATCCTAATTTAGATACAATCTAGCTGGGGAATGAAGAGGGTGGAACTGAACTGAGTCAGTCAGGATCTGGACACGAGCGCAGGGTTCCTCAGAATGATTAAAGCTTTGTAAGAAGTCTGAACTGCAAGAAATTTTACAGCCATTTTTGCTGCTGTTCAGTTATAAATACAGTGACCTCATCTCAAGCAAGTCAGGGCAAAAGCAACACAATCCAGAGATACTCACTGCTGGAGCGAGACTCCAAACTGCTGGTTTGGCAGTGGTGGGCGTGGGGGTGTTGGCTTCTGGGGCACTTGTGAAGGTTTCTGCAGGGATCTCAGATATTCGTCATATCTGTGGCAAAACAGAGAATAGCAAAAAGCCACTCCACCTCCCAGAAAAAGCATGAACCCAGCACTGCACGTGACCCACTTCACACCCACTGCTAACAGCTCCAGCCTAGTATGGTTGATTCCACCTATGCAAAAACAGGACAGGCAGTTCTGGAGCACAGGGGCAACAAGACCAAACATCTGGTTGCCAGAAAAAAGCAGGGAGAAAGGAACATCTATCTGGAATCAGGAGCTGGAGTAGCTGAGGATGACAGACAGCATGGGCAGCAGGCCAGGACAGCACTGCTTGTGATGAGAGAGTTGCATGTGTGTGTGAGAGACAGGGACTCAATCTGGTAGGACCGAGATGGTGGCAACTTTGGGATGCCCCAAAGACAAGCTGAACTGTGCAGAGTGAGCAAAGCAGGTGCCCAGACACAGCAGATGCACACCACGAGCTCCAGGTCAGTGTTAAGGTCAGCAGCTTGCAGAAAGGGGTAAGTGGGAGAGGCAGGATAGGTGCTCCACTGCAGGAGAATTTTTAACTCAAGGACAGAACTGGGCACTGGAGCCAAGGACACACAGGAAGAAGCACAGAGAGAAACAAATCTTTAAGGCAATTTGTCACCACTCCCTCCAGAACCACTGCCTGAGTGGAACAATCTCTTCTTCCCCTTGCCATTCCTCCAGAAAAGTCCACTCTCATAGAGCCCTAAGCAAATGGGAGACAGGCAGCATTCTCACTTCAGCACTTGACTTGGGATTCCCAGCTGTTCCAGCTTCACATACTCCTCCAGCTCACTAAGGAAGTTCACATAAAAAATCTTTCGTCCAAACTTAAAGCTGAAAAACGAGAGAAAAGTAGGTATGTGAGGAATCAGGAAATCCAGTACCAGAACGGACTTCTTACAGGCAAGGAGCGCAGGACTCTGCAAGAGACACCAATGGGGCAAAGGGGCAGGTATGGCTGAGCAGCAGAGATGTCACTCACATAGCTCTCCAACTCCATATATTTTACCAGGAGATGCCAAGACTTTCCAAGTCACATTAGAAGCCCTAGCAGCAGCAGGCTCCCTAAAACACTGGAGTTCTCCTTCCTAAGTTCAGCAGTAGGCTGGAGAAAGTTTTGTTGTAAATTATTTTACAGAGTTAGGATTTCAGCATCAACACAATGAATTAAATATAGTTTGGACTGATGCTCTCACTTCCTTTTTCATTATTAGCAGAGCCTGCAACACTTTACTTATACTTGGCTGGACTGAAAGGGAGCAGCACAGAGCTGCAAACTCTGCAGGCACCCAAAGCAGTACTTGCTGTGTCTGAATATTTCTGAGCTCAGAAGCAGGATGAGATAGCACAGGTGAGAGTCTTCAGGGTAGACTCAGCAGCCTGGGCTCATCTTGTGCCCCACTAAGAATGCCCCATTACTCCCCTGCAGTGTGAGGATGTGGGTGGGCTTATAGTGCTTCCTACCTGATCAGAGGCTTGAAGAGAATCAGCAGGGTCTTGATGAACATGGTTGGGTGCACAATATACAAGGCTTTGATGTTCTTCTTGTACCTGCCAAGAGAAGCTAAGTAAGGATGAACTGCACTTTAAGCAGAGGAACCAACCTTTCCACAAGATTAAGGCACCCCTGGGTGCTCCATTCCTTTTGCACTGACCCTCACCACTCTCCAGCACCCACAGCCTCTGCTCTCCCATGCTTTGTAGCTGTGTCAGGCCACTCAGCAGCCTAAGGGCATGCTCTACTGTATTCCAAGATTCATCAAGAAGCAGTGAGCAGCCTCACCAGGAGGCAACAGTTATACCATGGGGCTGACACGCTTGCACTGGGTCCTAGTTTTGCTGCTTGCCTCTTGGCCTAAAGGATGTAACTACAGAAGGAGCTGTTTATCCCATGATTCAGCCTACATCAAACAACAACCCATCTCCATAAATAGCAGAAACAAGTGACAGTAAATTATGATCACCAAGATACATGGGCGTGCCAGGGAAGATCTTTTATGTTAGGCTACAGAACAGCATGTTACATCTTTGCTTGCTGCAGCCTTACTCACTTGCGATCAAATTCCCTGTAGGCATCCCGCAGCCAGCTCAGGGATGGCTTGTTCTCACTGGTCAGGCCATGGTGCAGGTACACCAGTGTGTAATCACTCTCCACATACTGGTCCAGTGTGAATTTCAGGTACCTGAGAAAAGACAACTGCTGAACTCACTTCATGCTCTGCCACAGGGAGGCTCTTCCTCCGTTTGGGACTCACTTTTGTGTGCCATAACAGAGGATTTGCATCCCCAGCAATGGAGATAAGTAATTTGGGAGGACGTGTCCAGCTAAAGAAGCCACTGCAGATAGATCTGGCCCCAGGAATCCAGCACCTGGGAATTACGTCAGGTTTAAAAAGTATAGCAACAGCCTCCTAAGACACTACTCACCCCAGCAGTTTCACGTGATCAAGTTGATGACTTGGGGGCATCCGGCAGGCACTGAACAAAATTACTTTCCTTCCATATTTGTCATCACCTGCAGATGAAATGCAAGAGATTAAAGGGAGTTTAAGCTACATTGTGGTCTTGGCAGCAAGGGGTAGACAGAGAATGGAAACCACCATAACAAGGCAGAAATCTGGATTGACACAGCTGCCAGAAAAGCTAAACCTGATTTTCAGCAGAGTTGCCCCGGGCCTAGTACGGAAGCAGAAACCTGAACACCAAGGGCCTGGCAGGTCAACAATGCAAACGGAGAACAGAGTCCATGCTCCAGCCCTGAAAGAAGAGGAAGGATTGGAAGCCAGGATGCCTCAGGGCATGTATGGATGGAGGCCTCAAGCACAGAGCAGAGTGCTCAGAGCATTACTCCTGCAACGGTGCCCCTGAGCACTGCTCCTGATGCACGTGTGCCCAGGGAGGCACAGGGAAAACTGCCCCTCACAGGCACAATAACCACTCCTTCCGTTCTGCACGCAGTCCCAGACTAACCACTTGTGGTCTGGTACATTTGTTTCTTGCTTCACCTGAAGCTTAGTCCTGCACACAGAACAAAGCCATTTCATACCCTGGAAACCAAGAAATTCCTAGAAACATGGCAGTCCCAGCCACATCCCAGAGATGAGAAGTAAGCATCATCATAAGCCTCTTCTACAGATGGACCAAGTAGGGTTGCTGGATTCTCCAGGGGGATTGCAGAACAAGCTGTTCACTGCTTCCTAGATTTTCCATCCACAGAGATATTTTTCCAGCCTGAGCTGGAAGGAGCTGCGCGGTGTGGCACAACAAAGCATTCTACGTAAAAACCCAGCAGCAAACAGTCCCCATCACACTGGAGCCAAATAACCCACGTAAAGCACCCTCATCTCAGGAAGGACACTCCCAGCTACCACTTGAGGCTTCAGAGACAACAAGCCAAATTTTCCCCAAAGCAAGTTTTCATACACCAGTGGACTTGTGCCAAGCAGGGATCTCAGCCCCATGAACAAAATCCGAGCAGATGGGCATGGACAAGCTTAGCAGACATGCTAGGGGAATTGAGAGATTTTGGTAACTAAGAACCAAGCCGCAAAGTCTTTCAGACATACAGAGTTTGAGGGAAAGTCTGGTTCTCTCCCAGGCACAACACTCAATCTATTTCCATAAGGATGACTTGCTTTTTAGCACCAGTGGAGATGAGATTGTTCCTTTAGTGTGAAGGGTTAGAGTCTTCCCATCTCACCCTGCTCTGAGAGCTATGTTTTCTTGTCGAACAGAAGGAGCAGGGAGCAGTGGAAGGGGCCACTGAGTTTATACTCAACAACACCCTCCTTTGTCCCCTACAGCACAACCATCTCATACAGACCACAGCACAGAAAAGCAGCAAGGATCGCTACTTATGCAGGACAGCCCTGCAATACATCATTCCTCTTGAAATATATCCTTTTCCCCACACTGATTTACAATATTCAGAGCATGCAGCCATTTTATCACCTTTGCATGGGCTCTGGCCCTCAACTAACGCTTTGTTACGCTTGCCGTGCAGCAACTGAGATCTCAAACTGAGCCCCGGAACAGCAAACCTGAGGTTTCTGGGAACACTGCCTGTGAGGAACAGATGACCACTTAGTGCTGCAAATGGGAGCCAGAGAGCTCACATACACCAGCCATGACATTAAGATGCAACTAACCCTCTTTTACCCCCATCCTGGCCAGAAAAACAGATTCTCTTGCTACTTGTTCGCTTATATTTTTCCCCTCACAAGTCCCATTTTCAAGTCACTCACCAGACAACACAAGAGACAGAATTTACTGATGCACACAAGCCAGAACCTCTACAAAAGCTAGGGACACTGAGGCAGTGCTAGGTAGAGACCAGGAATGGGGTGGCATAAGCCATCACATTGACATACACATGCGGAGGTAAGGGGCAATTAGGGAGGATGCATGACCCAGAATGCAGGACTAGGAGAGAGTGATGCAAGGCTCATCTGGAACAACCAGATACAGTCACAGCCAGGCCACAAGACCAACATCACATTGCATATCCCACGGTAGCCCACTCTCTGCCTAGCCCAGAGTTTCTTGGTAGCTTTAGGGCCATGAGCTTTAGGGCTGGGTCTAACGCACATAACCAGTCTATAAAACAAAGGTGAAGGCTACGAAGTCCCGGGCAGGGAACATGGAAGATTGTGACTCTTCCCAGTGGTCTTGAGCCACTCATATGTCTCCATCTGGAAGACAAATGGTCCTGCTTGCACAGAGCAGCAAGAAGACAGTATTATCCGAGAATTTGTTGAGTTTTGTAGTGATGAAAGAGAATGTTCAGAAAGACTACAGATCTTTGCGGATCATAGCTCTGCACTAAAGTCAGAATATGTGCGATCTTCAGTTAGCTCAGAGGCTGCATTTCACACCAGAGTGGGTGGTCTGAGGGCCAGAAGCAGACTGCAAGCTTGATCAAGGCAGGCCTTGGTTGTGAAGAACTGCAGTACAGCACCACATTCATGTGATTTTGTGGGTGGCCACACACTCAGCTCAGGCTCCAGACCTGACAAGTCACAAGTCAGGAACCACACAGCTTAAACACCTTCCACTGGAATGACATGAAAGCTTATGGCAGGGCCTATGCAAAGTCTAGAATCTTGTTCCTTATATAGCCTTGGTGAAAAGGTCTGGGATCGCTGGTTAAGAAAAAATGGACAATCCATGATTCTGCCAAAGGGGAGATGGCATGTTTCCCTTGGATAATTTCCAGGGCCAAGTACACCAAGAGATAATCTATAGTCCTCTGGATGACTGAAAAAGGAGTGGCCCATTTTGCCTTCCAAATCAGAATGAATTTATGCATGAGACCTACACAGGAACCAGCATGCCCATTACTGAGTTCTGGGTTTCACCTCACTTTCATTGCACTGAGCTCAGCCCGCCAACGCAGACTCTTGCAAAAACAACCAACTGCCAATCTTATTTCCACCTGACATATATCAGATCAGTGTGGTTCCTCCAGACACGACAAAATTCAAAATCCAGCACCAAAACTCAATAATCAGTTGTTCCAATTTATAAACAAGAACCTAAAGCCCATTGCATGCATTCTTGGCTGTCAGAGGACACTGCCTTCAGGTGGCCTCTCTGCCTCCAACCAAACAGATTCTTATCACATTTGATTTTTCCCAGATGTTCCATCCCTTGTGCTGTTTGCAATATTAATCTTATATATCTAGGTTTTCACCTCTTGTTTGCAATTGCAAATAGCTAAAGTTTCCATTGAACACAACTATAGACCAAGTAATCGCTCAGCTTCTCGGGCTGTCTCCTACCTCTCCCAGATAAGGAATGCTCAATAGTTAACAACAAACCAACAAAGAAGCAATTATATACCATCAGTACTCACAGAGCACCCCAACAATGTGCATACCTTTGTGAGTAAGTTCATACATAAAAAATATTTTCTATCTACGCTGGAATTAAACTACCTCCCTATAGGATGTAATTCAGATATGTTGGGGGTTTTTTAACAACAAAGAGCAAGACAGTAGCCAATATGCAAAACCTCTCCAGTCAAGACAGCTGCTCATCTAAAGAGATATCAACTTGTAGCACTGACAGACATGCTAATTCTCCTGAACATTGTTATGGTGCTTTTAAGGCCCAAACTCAGTTTCTCCTTTCACCCGAAGAGCAGTGTTTCCAGTGCAGTTCTGAGACAAGGGGCAAGGAACATGATTGCTGTGGTTCCAAGTCAGCAGTGTAGGACCATACTTCTAAAAGGGATGAAATTTAAATACTGAGACTAATGCTTCAGATGGCAAGCTGCAGCAATACAAATGTATCAGAGCAGAAATTCATGTCAAGATAGCAGTACTGTCCTGACACAGGACTCTCTATTAAATGAATCCGTACAGCCAACACAGAAAATGCACACTTGACTTGCAAATCCTGCTAAGCTTTTCTAGGTATTTCTCCTGAAATATATCCATTAGCCTTTACGCCATGACTGGAGGCTGTCACACTACTCACTGGCAGCGTGACTGCAGCCCAGGGACCCTGCTCATTCTTACCCTCATCAGGTACCCTTGGCTGAGGCCCACCTCGATGAAAGATTCAAATGGGAATATCCTGGTACTTTGATATTGAGAGAATGCAGATAGATAAAACTTGCCACCAAAAGTTAGTGTTATTGGTAAAACAGCAAAGTTAACAGAGTTCAGGGTGAAGGAGTGGACACCGCTACATAATTCCAGAACATTACTACACAAGTTTCACAAGGTTTAGGATGTTCATCAGAGCTGCTGTCAGTAAAAATCTTCCCTAATGTAATTTCAGGTTCCTGCCAAACTTGTGACACAGCTGGGCAGTGTTTAAGTATAGTAGATTTTAGCTGTCTTTTGAATTCCAAAGAGAATTTAGCCCGTCAGGAAAAGAAGGTAAGGAGCTCAAAGTAGAAGTATTTTAATATGTGACATCTTCCACCTAGATATTGCCAATATCCAAACACTGCCAGAATCATAAAGCCTTATCAAGTGACTACAGCTGTAACTGATACAAAAAATACTAGAGGGTCAGACTAAAGAATGCAAAATGGGAAGATGCCTGACAGCATGGCAAATGGGGGAGAAGATCCCACATAATGAGGCAGTGAAGATCAGCATTTCCATGGACCATGTGAAGATTCAGAAACAGCAGAAAGAATTTCACACCAAAAGAAGTTTTCATCTACATTGAGAAGTGTGAAAGCACCAGCAGCCAAATTCTTAAGGCTTGGGACTGAAGTCCAGAGAGTATTAACAAATGGTCAGCAAGCACAGAGCAGTCCAGCACAGCTTCAGGCTAGAATGAGGAACAAGTTACTGAAACACAACATCTCTGCATCCAAATGGAGAAGAAATTGGTAACAGTTGCTTTCTGCTGGAGAATCCAGTTTAAGCGCCAGCTGCTCAGCACGTGAGCGCAGAAGCAGATCATATGAAGGAATAGGAAGCAATCCTAGGATGAACTTCCAAAGCACACATGACAATAAGGTAAATCTGAGTTCAAACCAAACTGGTCCAAGCA